GGGAAGTCACAGCTGACAGCCCTGAGCAGAGGGTCCTGGGCTTTGTCAGGGGCTGGTCCCAGCTCTGAGCACCCAGATCCCTCAGGAGCAAACCCCCAGCGCCCTCTAGTGTCCAGGCCCAGACACACCATTGAGTGACATGGGGACCAGAACCCATGAGAGGCCACCTCTGCCTTCCCACTGCTCTGCCCACTGCCCCTGCCCTAGGGTCAGGCCAGGGTCCCCTCTATGGCCTCCCCTCACCTCGGGGCACCTTCAGTCTCTACTCGGCGTCCTCAGGGGGAGTCTGACCACAGCTCCCTGGGCTGGTCCGTGGTCAGGACTCAAGTGGCGGCTCCTGCACCAACTCTTAGACCAGGGTCAGGGCTCAGGTCAGGGCCAGAGCAGGGACAGCCTTGTGGGGGCGCGTCCCCTTCTGTGCGGAACTCGGGTTCTGTCTTGTGTGGGATTCACTCCTGGTGGCGGGAGGCCTCCTTCCCGTGGACCCAGGGCCCCGAGGAGAAAGGGGCCCTTCCCTAAGGCTGGGCAGGGGGTGGGGGGAAGCCCTCCTTGGGCTGTCCTCGTCCGGGGTCAGGGTCACTGTTATTTTCTGTCCATATTTCCTCCTCCTGACACCATCGTTCTCCATGAGCCGTGGGCTGTGGTCACTCCTGGGATCTGTTCTCAACGCACAGTCAGACGTTGGCATTTATCTGAGAAGAAAAGGGGAACTTGCAGGACGCGCTGAGCAATAATGTGGTTAAACTTTCTAATTGTTGTGCTAGGGCTTTATTTAATAACCTTATATGTTAGTCACCACTCAGCCACCTTCACATGCATGTATGTTATTACATGTGAAAGTCACAATAAGGCAGATTTAAAATTTCTAGAATGGTGTATATTGGTGTAAATTGTTGTTAGAGGAATTGATGGAAAATATTGGAAATGCAATGCCTTCTGCTCCGGGTTTAAAAGGTGTGAATCGACGTTTTTCTAACATCACTTTACATTTCAGTCGTTTGTTGGGAGGTTGGCATTTATCTGAGAGGAAAGGGGAACATGCAGGAAGTGCTGAGCAAAAATGTGGTTAAAGCTTCTAATTGCTGTGATAGGGCTTCATTTAATAACTTTATATGTTAGTCACCACTCAGCCACCTTCTCCCCAGTCGCTGCCCAGTGACCCCCACGAGGAGTTTCTAGGAGCTTCCATCAATCCCAGCAACAGAAGCTCCTGCCACAGGCAGAGCTCCCAGGACACAGCGGTGTTGGGTGGGCACAGCCACAGTCACTGCCCCTGGTGTCCAGCATCCACAGGACAGAACGTGTCCCCTCACCCCCCCAGGGGCAGCGGCCAAGGCCCCCTGGCCGCAGGCGTTTCTGTCAGTGATTCGGCATCTAAGTCGTGAAAAAGCGCAAAGACAAGGGGGGACTATGTCCCTGTGTCCCAAGCCCCGGGCCCTGGGTGGGGACAGAACCTCAGCAGCAGACGTCCCGCCTGGCCGGCGCTGCCCCGAGGGGGGGACTCCCTCCCAGTGGCCGGCCCTCGGCTCCAGCTGGCAGCGGTCCAGATGGCAGCGCTGCTGTCCTTCTTTGCATTTTGAGGGTTCGCTGCTCGTGTGTAAAGGGGGGACTATGTCCCTGTGTCCCAAGCCCCGGGCCCTGGGTGGGGACAGAACCTCAGCAGCAGACGTCCCGCCTGGCCGGTGCTGTCCTGAGGGGGGGACTCGCTCCGAGTGGCCAGCCCTCCTCGGCTCCAGCTGGCAGCGGCCCAGGTGGCAGCACTGCTGTCATTCTTTGCATTTTGAGGGTTCGCTGCTCGTGTGTAGAGAACAGGTTCTTGCTGTGTGTGGGTTTGTTTCACGAAATTCAGATTTCAGGGCTCAGACCTGACTCCTCTCTCAGTCCCTGCTGGACCAGGCGCTGAGCGTGGCCTGAATCACCCTGATTTGACCTCCTCATTGTCTCCGATGGGACATTGTGATCTCCCAGGAAGGAGTTTTTGTCTCTGAAAACATGAACACAGCAAGGACATGAGAACAATACGTCAACCTGAAAGGTGAGGACAAAGGTGTGACATTGTCAAAACGACTGTCCACCCACAGTCAGGTGCCGGGTGGGGATCTGACAGCACAAGTCCCGGCTGAGCTGCACTTGCTCAGAGCCTCCAGCAGGGGGACAAGGCCAGGCCCAGGGAGCAGAGAGGAGGTTTTGTCTCCCTTCCCTGTGGGTCTGAACCACTGTGAGAGTCTTGGCCTTGCCGTCCCATGTGTCACAGTATCAAAACGACTGTCCACCCACAGTCAGGTGCCGGGTGGGGATCTGACAGCACAAGTCCCGGCTGAGCTGCACTTGCTCAGAGCCTCCAGCAGGGGGACAAGGCCCGGCCCAGGGAGCAGAGGAGGGTTTTGTCTCCTTCCCTGTGGGTCTGGACCACTGTGGGAGTCTTGGCGTTGCCGTCCCATGTGTCACAGTGATAGTCAGCCTCGTCCTCGGGCTGCAGCCCAGCGATGTGCAGAACAGCCGAGTTAGCTGAGGCGTCTTTGGATCCGGAGAAGCGGCTGGGGACGCCCGAGCCCTGGTACTTGTCTGAGTCCGATTTGTAGGACAGCAGGTACCGGGGAGGGCTCGCTGGCTTCTGCTGGTACCAAACCATTCCATAGTCGCCAACATTGAAGCCACTGCTCAGGGTGCAGGTGAGTCTGGCTGTGGCTCCCAGAGATGCAGAGAGGGAGGG